CAAACATTGACTCTAAACTCTAAATTTTATAATTATATATATAAAATGCCAACATATATTATTTATATATATATAAGTAGATATTATATTATATATTCTTGATGTATTTATATTATACTCGCGTCTTATTTTTTAAAAAAATTTGTCATATTGCAATATCCTCACATACCTGTAAGCCGCATTCGTATCCATGTTTCTTATAATACGAAGTATTCAACAATTATTGAATACACTGACGTGGAGCTCATGTGGGCCCCATTTCATGAACCAATCTTCAAGACTCCCTTGTTATAAATGAGGCTCATCTTCCCACTTTTGTAGACATAAATTGAAATATTATAACCATTAAGGCAACCACCACCACCTTCTGAGCATAATGGCTTCAAAGGCATCTCCAAATCGTCTCCTTCTATGCTTCTCTTTCCTTGCTTTTCTCATTGCATGCAATTGTTGCTGCAAAGAACCAGAAGAAAATCATGGAGCCAAGGTCAAAGGCATGTTCGTGTTTGGTAGCTCTCTGGTTGACAATGGCAACAACAACTTCATCCAAAACATACTGGCCAAGGCTGATTATTTGCCCTATGGAGTAGATTTCCCTCGTGGTCCTTCCGGGAGATTTACCAATGGAAAGAATGTCATCGACCTCCTCGGTGACCACCTTAAGCTTCCTTCCTATATTCCGCCATTCCTTGATCCTTCAACGAAGGGAAATAAGATCGTTAATGGCGTCAACTACGCGTCCGGTGCTTCTGGAATACTAGATGATACTGGTTCACTTGCTGTAAGAAATTAAGATTATATATCCTCTAGCCTTCTTCCTTCTTTTTTCTCTGTTTTTCATTCTTTAGCATGCATACATGGTCATGATCGAATAGTCTTTTAGGTTTTATAAATAAAACGTAATGGTAAAATTATTCCATTGTGACCTGAAGATCATGAGTTTGAAACAAAGAGACAGTCTCTCGTATAACTAATCCTTCTCAAAACCTTCTATAACGGGAGTGTCGTACACTGAATTTTAGAAAGTAGTCCACTTATGAGTTGTCTTTTAGAAAGTGGTCCACTTATGAGCGTCCCGATGCATTTCTTGATTTAAAACAGTGAACATGAAGCAAACAGTTTTGATTCATTGAAAAGACATGCACAGATATATAAAACCATGGAGGTTTTTAATTTTTTTTTTTTTAATCAATACCAAATTAATAGAAAGTGGAACTAAAGCATAAGTCAACACAGGCTTTTAAGGTCTTTTACTCGACTAAAATGCAACCTATAATTTGTGGATGGAATATCATGCAACACGGTTAATTTACTTTATTCTGTTTTAGAAGTCACCGGTTCAAAATAGAATACATTCTCTTTATATGTGAAATGAAAGTTGCAACCGCATCGAACTAATCCTATATATATATATATATATAATATATCATATATGGGGTTGATCAACTTGATGTTGATACGTGCTTTTGGCCAAAGGTCGTTCGAGTCTCATCCCACATACGTCAGTTGCTTTAACTACCAAAAATCCTTGACGAGAACAATTCATTTATATAATAAAGAGGATATGAGTTCAGGGTGGGTGGATCTCATGCATTATAGATTTACTATACACACACACACAGATATATATATATATAGTATGTGTTTATATATACACATGTATACATAAATTTCAAAGCTAGAAAATTAGCTACATGTCTTAACCTGACCTGCTGACTCAAAACAGATCAAGTTTATGCTAATATACTCGTGCTTTACATACATTAATTCAGGGAAATGTGATCAGTTTAAATCAGCAAATAAGAGAGTTTGAGGAAGTGACTCTGCCGGACTTGGAGAAGCAGCTGGGGTGCAATAGCAGAGAATCACTTCCCCACTACCTGTTTGTGGTGGGAAGTGGCGGGAACGACTACTCACTCAATTATTTTTTGACTAGATCCGCGAGCAATGTGAGTCTTGAAGTTTTCACTGCCAATCTCACCAACAACCTCTCTCTCCAACTCAAGGTACTCTTATAATGCCAAGTTCACTCAATTATGTGCATCACCTAATATTTATGTTCAGATCAGGGGCAGAGCCAGAAATATAAAGTTAGGAAGCCAAATTACTAAGTATAAGATTGAAGTAACAAATTTTTTTTAGTGCATTTTAGACTTTTTTTTTTTTTGTTTTTTCATTAATATGTCTATAAATGATATGTAAAGAAAAAATAAAGAGAACAACATATGACAATCAATTAAAATATTTTTTTCTATTTTCAACTCATAACAAACAATATATATATATATATATTTGTGTGTGTATAATAATAAAACTGAATATTGTATGAAGAATATAAATAGAGTATAAATATGTTATATCAAGATTACAATGATAACCTTCCCAAAAAAAAACAGGATTTGTTAGACTTTGAGGAATTAACACAAGTAATTTCTTTTACAAACCATCTTTAATAACCATAAATAAGTAACAAAAATAAGTATTTTTTAAAAAAAATTTAGGAGGCCAAATTTAATTTTTCTATAATAAATTACCATTAATAATTATAAATATATACTATTAATAGAAGTTATAGAAAATTTTGAGGGGCCAATTTAAATCTTAAATTTTTCTATACTAAATTACCTTTAAGTATAAATATAAACCACTAATAGAGGTTACGGAAATATTTTTTTTGGGTTTATGGGGGGTGGGGGAGGGGGGAATAAGCCTAATAAAGTTATATTTGGTTGCATGGTCATAAAAAAAATTAGAATTAGAAATGAATTTTTTTCTAATTCTAATTTCACCTCTCCAACGCGTTTGATTCAGTATTCTCAAATGCAATATTAATCTTAATCTTACTCTAAACCCATATCCCTACCTCTGTTACATTGAGTTTTTTATCATTGTAGAATTCAATAACTCATTTAGATTTAAAAAGTACTTTAATACTCCCTCCGTTCCAAAATAAGTGTTCATCTTAAAAACTGTGAAGATTGATACTTATTTTGGAATAAAGAAAGTAGCATATTTCAAGTTGGGCATCACAGTTCCCAAGATTTTTACCTATTTTGAAACAGAGGTAGTAGCATATTTAACATCACGTGTGATCAAGTTAGTAGAGCGTCTAACTTTACGAGTAGGTGTGCCCATATTTGAATCACATATTCTCTTAGTTTATTCGAAAAATATTAATAATAATAATAATGTTGTTCTTATTCGTATATAAATAATTGAAATTGTCCGACCATCTAACTCTATGTCATGGCTCAATCTTGCAACTCATCCTTCCATAGCTGCACCTTTAATTATGAATCATTTGTATTTAATGTCCCATTTGTTCCTCCAATGTGGTCAACATTTAAACACAAATTCAATTGATTTGTGGTGTAAAGGTGTGACAAATTGATTCAGGAATTGACTATGAGGTCCCTACCACAATTTGCATAGATTTGCATAATCTGATGGGGGAAAGGATTTCATCCAACTACCTCTGTGCAGGACTGACATGAAATTAATATCCCTATTTATTTGCTAAAACAACTCCCATTATTTTTTGGGGCCACAAGTTGGCACAAATTAATGACCATCAAGCACCACACTTTCAAGAAAAAAAAAATTGGGCACTTTTTATAGCCACCATTAAATTTCACCTAATGGTTGCATTCCAACAAAAAGTGTCACTCTTTTGTAACCTTATATTTTTATAATAATTTTTTAATTATAATAATAAGAAATAAATTTTCAAATATATCCTTCAATGCAAGTGTCATATTATAGGAGTGTTCGAAAGTCCGTATTTGAGCTTTACAAACTCTCCTTCCCTTCTAACAACTAATTTCTAAAATTTTTATCATAATTATATATTTACCCCTTCAATAGTGGGTCTACATAAATTTTAATTACTTTTATAACTTTAAGATAAGGAGAGTAAATTAAAAATATTAAAAATATAATACGTTGAATTTTAAATTAGGGCAGCCAAAATGGAAAAGGTGGACACTTTTTTGTGAGAAGAAGGGAGTATCTTTGAAATGTAATAAATATACTATTATTTGTATACGACAAGATATATTGGTTGATAACATTAATGACAAAATATTAGCCGTGTCAAAGTTGATCACAGAAATAATAAATAGATAGACTGAACTCCAATAACAGAAGTTGTAAGACCCAATTTAGACCGAACGTAAATTCAATTAGACATTTCTAAAACAGTTATGAGTTTCACCACCTTCTACCATTTGACAATAATTGGAAGCAAGGACGAACCCAATATAGGCCTATTGGGGGTGGGCAATTGCCCCTATTGAATTTTTTTTCCTTTTTGTATTTTATACCTATTAATTTTATTTTTTTAATTTATATACCTAAAAAATTAAATTTTGCCCCTACTAAAATTATAGAAAAACTTCAATATTGTCTAAAACAAATTTAAACAATGTAAGAGTTACTCCACTGCATGTACCCTTTTGCTACAAACATTAATTGCCATATTTCATATTCCTAATACATATCAAGAGTTGTTGACTCATTTGCACTTTGTTTTGCCTTCTCATTTCAATGATGCAGAAACTGTATAGCTTAGGTGCTCGGAAGTTTGTGCTCATGTCGATCAATCCCAACGGGTGTAGTCCGATGGTACGGGCGAGACAGCCGGAGCAGAAGGGTTGTGTGGAGGAACAGAACGAGGCTGCTCTCCTCTACAATGCCCACTTGAAGTCATTGGTGGATCTCATCAAGCCACAAATGCCTGCTTCTAACCTTGTTTTTGTCAACACTAACAAGATGATCATGGACATCATCGCAAATCCTGCATCTAAAGGTAAATTTACCATCCAAGTTACCAAAAGACACTAAAACAAACAAAGTTAAATGAGTAATTCTGATTGAGAAAAAACAGTCGTTTATCTCAATGATTGCCACATCAGTCAGTAAACCACGTTTCTGCATTTCTATCATTTTTCTTATATATTATATTCATGGTGGTTTGCAGGCTTCAACGATACAAACAATGCCTGTTGTGACGTCGATGATGTAACAGGATCTTTATGCAGAAGAGGAGGGTCAACATGTGCAACAAGAAGCACTCATTTGTATTTTGATGGTTTGCATCCAACTGAAGCTGTGAATGTTCAGATAGCAGCAAAGGCTTATGCTTCCACTCTGACATCTGAAGTTTATCCCATCAATGTTAAACAACTCTCCCTGATTTAGATTTCTCAACCTTTTCTTTTGTTGTTTGATCTAGCTTAGAACTTGAACAATGTAATAATATATAGTATATTATGGCAGTATATATATATATATATATATATAGACTCTCTCTCTATATATCTAGTTGATTGAAATCGGAGACATGCCACCCAAACTCTTCTTTTTTTGTTAGGCAAGTACTCGCTCACACTTTTGTCCACACACCGGGCTTGAAGACTATTGAGCTAGAGGTGTCTCCACCCAAACTCTTCTTCTTTTTTTATCAGGTAAGTACTCGCTCACACTTTTGCCCACACCCCCGGGCTTGAACCCCTCCTATCCTCGTGGGAAGTTATACTATTGGGGTAGAGGCCACACCCAAGTTGCACAAAATGAACCTGAAAATGTACAAATGTAGTACATGATAGACCTTTCGATGGTAAAAGGTTGGCCAAATCAGCTGAAATTCTACATCAATTGTGGTGTGTTACAAGGAAGCTGAGAGAACTATGACCTGTGTTCAAAACCCTTGCAAAAAAATTAACCACCCATCTATGATCTAACCATTGCAATCAAAAAGCTCATTCTACCACAGTAACATTACACCCAGTAAAATATTATCTCTTGCTACCATTTATGTCAAAATTATCAGAGTTCACAGGACACCAACAAAGCTGACAGGCATGAGTAAAATGAAATTCGATCAAATTCTAAATCCTTCTTTCAACTAACAATTACACAAAGTATAACCTGTCTATTATATGATCAAATTGTTAAGAGACTTAAGTCTACTGGCAACACAAAATTTTCGCATCATGAATACGGATCACTGATGGAAGCATCGAACTGCTACTACGTACATGAGAAGAAAAAAATGGTAACTCTTTGCATTGGCAGAAAAAGGTCTAACCATTGTTACGGTCCCCACGCTCGTGGCCTGATATGTACAAATAATACACTATGAACCTATGGTAGAGAAATAAATACAAAACAAAGAATAAATTAGTCATAATTATCTAATTAACTGATGTGCGTTTAAACCCAATAAAGAAATGCAAAAAATATATTTGGCTTCCAAAAGGAAAAAATCAATTACCACAAAAAATCTGCTTTGCACAGTCAACACTTGACCCTCGTGCTATGAAGTTGATAGATGAGAAATGTTGTCAATGTTGCTGTTGGAGTGCTTTATATGCAAGTCCCTGGCGTCAGCTTGCAAAAGTTGCATTGGGCTGGGAGAGATAAGACATTGATACCCCGGATATCCGTTGCTTTACTTGAAATAATCTTGTCTAATTATTGCAACATATTCAGGGTGTAACTCATCAGTGTCTTTCTGCTTCCATATTTCACCATTGGAATGGATAAGCCAGGATATTTGAGGGGAAAGTGATGAATACTCTGCACATTATCAAATAGCAACAGATTTGTGAGCTTTAAGTTTTAAAGTTTCTTAAGAACTAAATCTATCAGAAGTCTGATTCACGTGAGTGACAAAATAGACCATTGCAAATTCGAGGTGACAATTTATGCCCAAACCCATTAAACCGCCCAAACCGGCCCACTAAAATTAAATCATTGGGTGACTAATTTAAAGTGAGTGGGTCACTAATGGGTAAAAAGTAGGTACCCATTACAATTCATGGGTCAATAATGGCTACATGTGACAATCTGGATTCTCAATAATCAGCGTCATTTGCTAAGTGCCTGATATTATTGTTTGCAACTCCAAATTGAGACTCAAAAAATCATATGTACATTCTTACATTTCATCACCAGATCGGAATGCATAGCAAGTGAATAAGATTTGCGAGGCCCCCTTCAATCGGACAAATTGAAGGCAGATCTCCTTACCAAGAGCAGAGCAAAAGGACAACAGAATTTCTCACAAGTTTCTTCTTCACAAGAAGACCTTGTGTTTCTATCTTTTTCCCCATTCATTTAATATCATTGTCATCATTCATCAATGACTACAAGAAATTATAATTGCTTTTTATAACTCTTAGTTTCTTAAACAGAGGGTACTACACGGAAATTCAAGATTCTATTTAGAACTACTCACTTTATCAAGGACATGGGACCAGTCTCAAGAAGTACACTCATCCATGGTATACCATATGGCAATGGTGGCTACACTAAGGGGAACTAATTAGATTAGATTTTCCGCACTTTTCATTACAATGCAACCCTAGAAGTCTAGACACTTCACATCACCAGTTGCCCAACAGCCAGTTTCTAGTTCCTACTTCACTATAGCCGGTACTCGCACAATACCAGGGTAGCCAACAAAAGTCAATCTATGAAGCATGGATACCAACACAAGACACATGTACAGCACAAAATGGAAATAACGAAATAGCAAACCTCAAAAAAATAGGACAAGAACATGGCGGGAATACAATAGAAATAATAAAATAATATATTATTATGTATTCAAAAAATTACTTTTGTTCATTTTATCCACATTATGATGAATGCAATCACTAATTTGGAGCTTAAAATTGGATAGCTGCTGTCTTTGCTTAACCCCATATTATTTTTGTATTAACCCATAATATAATCTAAAAAATAAAACTCCAGGACACTCCTTGATGCGTCGAACACGACTGATTGTGTCCCAAACCATGTCATGTCTGACACTGCCAAGAGTGTGCGTGCTTCCTAGTCGCAATTCACATTGGTGAACCAAAACAAAGTGACAATGAAATGTCTGTTTGTGCACAATAACTATGAAGCAAGGATGTTTGTAAGTACGGACAATGCAATACAATAAATTCTAAAAAGAAACGATATGGACACTGCAAGACCACTACATATATATATATATATATATACATGCATATGTTGTACTAATGTAGAAATGAATAAAAATAAAAAATTATTTGTATCAATAATAATTATTTGTCATGATATAGGTATTATTACTAATTTCTCTTATAAAAAATATATAAGAAAACCAAGCTAAATGTATTCGATAAGTATCGATATCTGATATGCTCCCCTTATAGAATTATCCCTACTTCATAGCTTATTACACTATATCATAGTCCAATAATGTGAAAAGGACATTAAGCCTGGGTGAAATGGCAATTGCTTATGGCATCCCTCTGGTGTGCTGGCTGTTCTGGGATGAATGTTGGTGTTGGTTGGTTTTGATGGGAAGAGATTGTTGTTAGAGAAAGACTGCTTTTGCTTGGAAAATGATGTTGATTTTTTGTAAAATTAGAGCAAGAATTTAGTCTTGATAAAAAATTAAATAATTTTTTTAGGAAAAATGTGAGAATGTTCAGGGGTAGTGATTTGGCTTATTGAGAAGCTTAGAAAGAAATGATACTCTGTTCTTGGAGAAAAATTAGGAGCAATACTTCATTTTTAGGAAAGGATTAGAACATGAGAAGTAAAGTGAACTATTTCCGTAAGTGCTTAAACAAATGTCAAACATGGAAACCGTCGCAAAGAGTATCAAAAACATCTACTACTATTAATGCGGAGAGGGCCTTATGTGTCATATCATTCTACATTCCAAATGTGAAGTTATTATTACTTTTTTTTTTATATGCATCTAAGTGTAGTTGTTTTAAGCTGCTATCCTAACTAAAAACATTGCTCCTAAGAAGTATGGACATGAACAACGGACACAGATACAAATGAAAACATTGACTTGAAAAATCTTAAAATCAGAACATGAACATGGCAATGACATGGCAATAAAATATATTTTTGTATAAAAAAAATATATATTACGTGCCAAATAAATGTTCTATGATTGAAAGATGAAATTGGAACTTGTTAGTCATTTAATTTGAGTTTCCCATGTTGCAAACAAAATTGAATAATGTGATAAAAATATATATATTTGAATGTATGTGTTTTTTCATTTGTGCATTTGTTCATGATAAAGGGTTAATTGCACAAAATCCTCTAAACTATAAAAAAAAATGTGCACGTTACCAACAACAAAAACAACCACCAAAAAAAATTTGCATGTAACCTTTAAATAATACTAACCCCTAAAGTATTGAAAGTATGTAAATAGGGCAATTAGCCTAACGGCCATCAGGTGGCTGTTAAATGTGTATTAAAAATTACTAAACTGAACTGAAGATTAACTGCATAAAACCCCCAGAACTATAATAAATATGCACGTTGCCTCCTTGAACAACGGGTGATATACAAACGAAATTTTATAATTCAGGAAAGATTTATGCATTTAATCTAAAAGAATAAAAGATAATTTTGTTTTCTCAAGGTCAATGTTATAACCGCTTATTTCTTAACTATAACATGGCGGAAGGGAATGATTTTGTGATATTTCAAGGTGGTGGATATCCCCTTAAAGTTTAGTATATCAAAGTGATATGCAAGTTTTTAATAGTTCAGAGGAGTTATGCAATTGAACCATATATAAATGATATATAAACCATTATTTTTACTTCAATTATACTTTGTTTCAATTTTGAAAAGGATATCTTATATACATTAATCACGTGTTAGAACAGTTCAAGAAGTGTTTTAAAATAAGGATTTTATTTTTAAATTATGGAGACGTAGAAGATGTGTAAGACACATGTCAAAAAGTACTTTCAAAGAATCAGAGTCCGACATACATACACGTGTCCGAGACAAATACAACTACTTCTTAGATACGTCCTTACTTCTTGTGATGTTGTGGCCCGAATTGGTTCCAAATCGCATTGTGACCCATTTTTTGCTTGCGGCGTGTACCCTTTAGTACTCTCTTGTAGCCCGATATATAAGGGCGTTTAGGGTTTGAAGGGGCATATTGAAAGACACTGAAAATCATAGAAAAGAGAGTGAGAGCTGGGGTTTGAGGGCTGAAAATTGTAATCTCCTAATTTTCGCATAGAGAAACCTTTTGCCGGATCTTCACATTGGACATAAACAGGACTTGTGTCGAACCACGCTAAATCTTTGTGTTCTTTGTGTGGCGTGTTTATTTTCTGTCGTGTTTCGTGATTGTTTATTGGGTTCGCTGCGTTTGTCGTAACACTTCTACATTTGGGTAAATTGGTGCAAACTGATTCGGTCATGACATACATAAACAAAAGGGAAGTACCTAGCATAATCTGGTCGGCGTTACGAGCTGGGCAGTGTCTAGACGTCAAGACTATTCCTGATATCGGGAGGGCCACCTCTGAGGGTCCCCGCTGTGTCATACTCAGGAGGAGGCCGGGTCTTCAGTTGATTCACTCCCTATTGTTTGTCCATTGGCTTTCACAGGGATTTGGCTTGGCCTAGTTCAAAAATGGGCAGAGGAACCTTCCAATGTTGATGACTTCTGAGACTGATGTTCAATGACGTTATGGATGGAGTCCTTGGGATCGACATAACCACATAACCAACTTCACAACTTTGACTTTCTGATGAAAAAACCTAGTGCATCTTTCATTTTCCTTTAACCATGTCACTTAACGATTTTTGGCACCACATTTCCGTGACTGGGCGCCCAAAGACCTATGCAAATAGCCTACATGCCTACACGTTCACATTGGCATGAATTTGAAAATACTTAGGTGAAGCCCTACATATAGCAATTATTACTCAGCATAGGAATGAATCACTTTTCAAGAGAATCGAACCAAAACAAGTGCAAAGCAAATGTAACCCTCAAACCTACTGTTATGCAATGTATCCATTCATATTCTTGTGTTTGCATATAGTACCTGCAGTAGGAGGTGGATCTGGTTCTCTCGTACTATGCAAGACCATAGTACCTGAAAGCACAGTAATGAATCCACAAAGCACTGAAACAATACTGCCAGCACTTTGACCAGACCAATCCTAGAAATAGCAGAAATTTACATTACAGCCTGAAATAGATAAGCGAAGCAACTCCAAGGCAAGAAATCACAGAAGTACCTTAAACATTATGGCACTAGCAAATATTGTGAAAGATGTAAACATTGCATAATAGATTGGAGAAACAATCGCTGTGTTGAAAGTATCCAAAGCCTAGAGAATATCAAAAGTCAGTCAATAAAGACATAATTTTCTAGATCAGAGCTGCACAACAAGTCAAAAAATAAAACAAATAATAATAATGTAAACCATAAAAACAAGAAAGCTTTTGTCTGTACATAGAACTTTGGGCAAAGTTCAATCCAAACAATGCTTAGCATAACTTTCTTATGTTGCATGCAATTTTAGTGTATTGTCTTCAACTATTTTCTCAAAATGTTGCCACTATTGGTCTAGATTTATTCACCTGTTCTTTCATTATTATACTAAATAGAAATATTGCAGATTTAATGTTTAACCAAACTGTTTAAAGATCATTAGGAAACCCATGAGGTATGAGCAGTTATTGATATTATGGAACAAAGATAACATTTAATGTTGGTGAAGATAAGATACTTTTATTGTCAAACGAAACAGATTGTGACTAATCAAAATAAAAGTGATTGTAGGCTGATAAATATCTGTAACTTAAAATATATAGAAACAGGATGCCTAAATCATTTAATACATAGAAAATGACATCAATGCTTATCAATGACCATTTCTATAAATATACGTGATGTTTCATTCCTTCTTGGGATTTCATCAATCCCCCAAGCAATCTTCAATCCAAGAGGTGAAATCCATTGATATTATGGAACAAAGATAACATTTAATGTTGGTGAAGATAAGATACTTTTATTGTCAAACGAAACAGATTGAGACTAATTAAAATAAAAAGTGAGTGTAGGCTGACAAATATCTGTAAGCTTAAAAAGATGCCTAAATCATTTAATAAGAAAATGATATCAATGCTTATCAATGACCATTTCCATGAATATACATGACGTTTCATTCCTTCTTCGGATTTCATCAATCCCCCAAGCAATCTTCAATCCAAGAGGTGAACTCCAGAGTTGAATTTGTTTGAAATTTCTCCTACACTAAGTTTTCTATCTTTTTCCCTTACCTTACTGTTTTCATGTTATTATTGTAGAGCAACTTATCACCAAAAAAAAGAAAAAAAAAATATGTTATTCTTGTAGAGAATGTTGCCTTTCCATGTAATTCTCTTTTGATGTATGTCAATGTAGTTTCGTATGCATATTTGTTTGTTTAAGAAATTGCATATATATAGATGCGTACTCAATTTCACATTTGCAAATACAACATAAAAGTATGGTTTAATTAGAAAAACTGCAAAGAATTACAAACTTGGGTGCAGTTGGACCAGATAAAGATCTGATTTTTCCTGACGATCATGTGTGATGATTTTTTTCTTCTCGTTCATTCAAGATATCATGCAAAGGAAATACTGCCATAACCCCAGTTATTAGTTCCAGAAAGAACTCCTTAATTTACGAAGTTATCCACTGTTCACAACAATGGTGCTACATCGTTGTATATTAATACACTATAATTATTATTCAATATGTCCCATTTAAAATAAACATTCCAACATTAAAAATTTCAACCAAGGACGGAAGATTCTCCAACTTCCTATAGATAAATCAGAACTTTTATATTTAAGCTATCCCCCTTGACAATAAGAGGAAACAACTAAATAGTATTAAATTCTGAGAAAGTACAGAGAAGTTAATGTTCACTCCTGCCTTCTTTAAATATTTAAATGTCTTTAAGAAGATATTCTAATTTTCAAAGAAAATGAGAACATTATGTAATTATCCAATCTAGAAGAAGGAGATGCCCATAAAGGAAAATATAATATTCTTACGTTATTTATGGAAAAAAATCATTTCTGAAAATCTGTCAAAATAGCCAAATTATAATATAATATGGAATGCAGCATGTATAGTTTCATGTACTATATCTGTGTATCATGTAATCATGTATCACAACGCATCAAATTGCAACATGTATCTTTCTTTTTTTTCCCTGAATACAACATGTATCTTTCTACATTCAATGAATGTCACAGCTTAAAGTATTTATCATGTATTATACTATGTGGATAATGAAGAAGTTAGGGAGCCTAATAAAATCGCATCACCCCTTCAACGTAATCTGCCGAGAGAGAGAGAGAGACAGAGAGAAAGAGCGATGCGTTGATTATGGAAGATGGTAATAATGGGAAGACAAATGTTGGGAAAATTCACTCAACGGTTCTCTAACATTATGAGGCAGCAAAGGAAAGCGAAGCCCCATGATTAGGCAAAGGTGTCTAGGTATTAGATGATTAGGTTCCATATGGTGGGAAGTACTGAAAGAACCATATGAACATGCATGGACCTAATTGGCAATGAAATTTCCATTTATGGCCCCTCTGAACTTTACGTAGAGATATACAGGTTGAATACCCAACAAAATATGCATATGGAGAATCCTTTAGCTAGAATTATCTTCACAATATATGGTTTTTGGAATTCTGACTGATCATTTGAATGGCAAGGAACAAACTAATCCAGGATGATCAGTAATTTCTAATGCAAACACTGAAAAATTAAACCATTTCCCGTTTATATCCTAAAGATGTCGTCTATGGAGCAAAAAGACTATATTGTTTTAATATAATTTGCATACATCTACTCTGTAGCCCAATTTGCAGCATTGTTGCCTCAATTACTGGTCAAAATTTTGTCGTTCCGACCATGAGCCTTTAATGACTTTAGAGTTTTCATTCAGAAAATTCTGTACATACTAGAATCACCAAACTTATCCTCCAAATTGCAATCTTCAAATTTGAAAAGAGTGTTTATCAAAAAGAAAAAACATATTGAAAAATTAGGAGCATTAATATGCATTTGAATACTATCTTCACTTCACACTTTTTAATACCACATTTAAAAAAATTAGGAACAAAGGAAGAAGGAACTGACCTTGTTTAAGTAATTCAAACTAGTGACTATGCATGTAACTGCAACCATTAGAAAAACCCATGTTTGGAAATGTGTCACCTGGCTTGAACCCTCCAATGTGAGTTTTATGGCGATGCCTATTGCTTTGATACTCATAACCTGCAAAAGAGCACCAAAAGATTTCACATCAAGCTCATGCCATGATTACTAACCATGGACTAAAATATCTTTAAAGGGTGTATATTGCTGAATGCATTTTAAAAATACAAGTGTCCAAGATTTTTGAATTAAAAAGAATGATGATATTTTTTCCAATAATAACCAAGAAATATAATGATATGTACAAATTTTTCAATCCCCTTCAAATTGTGTCTTTATTTTTATTAAAAATCATCTCCATATATACAAGATAAAACATTCTATCTTTGAGAGACATGGATCATGCTAGCATGATGCCACGCCTGCATTTACAGAGTAACAAATTTCAAAATACAAAATAAAAATCATCTCAATATACACTCTCCCAGACATCACATTAGCATAATGCACAACACCTACACGAGTAAATTTCTATGCTGGTAAGATGGCAAACTTCAGTCTTAATTAACTCAAGGGGCCATTCTTTCCACAAGAAGCGCCCTTCAAAGACTGGGCCCTTTGCTTTGGTGCAGCCATGATAAATCTCCCCTTCCCATGATGTTCACTTATTTGCCATCCCTTATACACACCAACACACACATATGCGAAGGATGTGGCAAAAAATAGAAGGGTAGAGTGATGATCTTGAAGTATACAAGACCACTTACCGTTAAAGATCCAATTATGGAACAAATGCCAATATAAACCATTATGTTTGTCTGCCCATAGCGTGGTGCATAAAACAAAACCAGTACCAACACTATAGCTATTGCTGAAGCTGTATACAAAAGAAAAGCTGGACCAAAAAAATTAAGATTATCGATAGAAATAATCTAGAATTTTATTTGATACAAAGAAGTGAATTAAAAAGAAAAAAAAATCAAGAAACAGCAATTGAAATACATCAGTTCACCTGGTTGTGTTGCTAAATCCCAGATCTCTTCTACCGAACTTATACTATGTTCACTAGGTGCATGAAGCACAATCACGGTAGACCCCACCACACACAAAACACACCCCAGTATTCCCATTTTCCGCATTTTCTCTTTCAATAAGAAATGTGCTAGAACAGCGCTGAGAATGAAAGGAAAAAAAAAAAAAAAACACAACAAACTTCACAATATTAAGTTACTTTCACATCAAGGTTCACAACATTAACTAGATTAAGAAACTTGCTAAATTTTGAGACTGTGGACTTATCAATATAACAGATTTACCTAACAATTATACTCAATGCTCCAAGTGGTGTTACAAGCACAGCAGGAGCATATATGTAAGCTATGAAGTTGGCAAACTCTCCAACAATCACTGCCAAAATTTGGAGAAAAGAAACAAATATCCCAATTCACATTTCCTGAAAATCTTACAGAAGAAATAGCTCTACTTAATGATTAAAATTGTTTAGAGCAAGACTTACTGGTGATCAAGCCAATCCACCAAAGTGGCTGAAGCAGGTAACTGTATCCACCCGAACCTTCATTTAACAAACAAATAATCCACTATTACAATAAAATCAAATAAATAGACCAGACTTGCATACCATTTATACAGTACATGTGACTAGCCTTATCTATATAGAAAGTTTCCATATTAGTGTGAAAAATTGAAGGAATCGCATATGATAGGTTGCCTTTAAATTTGAGAAGCACGGACACTTCCAATGAGAAGCCTTGTCTGTGTTGGACACTGTTAAGACACCAATACCTTCCAGATTCTCATGAACAAGTGTTTGACGCATCTTGAACATGTCAATAATTTAAATATAGATTTCTTAATTTTGGATACATGGTCGACCCTTTTTGGACACCAATCAAATGTGACCAATAAACCTGAGAATTCATATATGACTTTATATTTAATAAGAAAAAATAAATTGAAAGTTTATTAAGAATTTAAATTTTTTATCACATTTATATAAATAGAAATAAGATATAGTAAAGTACATCAAAGAAGTTGGTACAAGATTAAGAAAGAAGTATATCGTAATTATGTAAGTAAATACACATATCCACATGCACACATCTCATATATATGTTGTATCCCTGCCATTTCGTTGTCAACGTAACAGCAGAGACAATGAAGCATGGAAGTGGTACAAGATATGGATATGACACCATACAGATACAACGATATGACTAATTTTTGAAATAAGATATGAGTATGATAAGGACATGTCAATATATTATATATTAATGTAAATATGTATAAAAATCAAAATATATATAAGTATTTAGGTATAAATTTACAATAGTAATTGTTTGTCACGTTATATATATTGTTACTAATATTTCCGTATGAAAAAATTATGACAACCAAGCAAAGTGTTATATTGCATGGATAAATTTTGAAATAAATTCGTAATTGTTGCCCAAACAATAACCCAAGAACGGGGTGAATTGGGACTTTTTGGTAAACCATAGTAGATTTTTAGCTTTTATCAAACCCTTGGTGTGCGAATAGATATAGCAAATGTGAGTGCAAATATAAGTGCAACATCTAAAAGTAAAGAGATAAGGATAGAGAAATGCAAACACGAAGAACACCAAGTCGTAACGTGGTTTGGCACCCCCGCCTATGTCCACACCTCAAGAGCACCTCTCGAGGATTTCAAAATCCACTATACCACTTTCCTTCACAAGTTGAGAGAGAACCTTCACAGCTCTCCTTCAAAGAAAGCAAACCTTTACAAAGCTTCACAAGCTTGTCTCTCTTTGCTAAGTTAGCACCTCACCAAGACTTCAAGGGTTGCACCAACCCTTTTACAACAAGAGATATCTCTCAATGGATAGAAGCTCTCACTTTAGAGTAATGAATGTAACAAGTGATGAAAGCTTAAACCTCAATTCTAGAGTATGAAGGTATGAATGCTCAGCGAGGTATTCAAGAATATTGAAAAGGTATTTGTACATGACCAAATTTTCCGAGAAGTACCGGATATATGTTTGCAATAAATTATTCATTTTCAATTTATGGATACATTTAAGAAGTATCGCACATGCATCTGCGAATACCCGAGTGTCACTATCCGATACAGACACAATATGATCACATTCCCCCCCCCCAATCGGATGGATTTGGTATGCCCCTGATTGGACTAGGGGTGGGGATGGTATATAGAATTAAAACCCGACTCGGGTTCGGGGTGCGGACGGATTTAAAGTTAAATCTGCCCCGCCCAATTATATATAAGATACACATATACCCTTGTATATAGTGTATATCCCTTTACTACCCTCATATATAGAGAGAGTATATTCTAGAGACTAGCGTTTTGACTTCTTCTCATTTGCCTTCTAGGCAATACCAGTGTACCATTAGTTGCGGCGCCCCCTCTCAGACCAGCTTGCCCCGACGGTGAATCTGCAATAAATGCTACTTTCCGATGGCATTCATGGCTTAGGGTTCCGGTGAGGGTCCTCTCTTGCTCTTGTTCTATTATTACCATTCATAGGTTAGAGTTTATAAGTTTTGAGAACTCTTTCGATTCCTAATATCTCTCTCCCTCTCTCTACGTGTTCTTTAAAAATATATGTTCAGTATGGTAATTCTTTTTTTTTTTTTTTTGATAAATAAAATTTTATTAAAAAACGCTCAAAAGGGGAGCAAATCCCAAGAAAAATACAAAAGACCACAAAGGCCTCAAGCCTTCAAGGAGGCCAAAAAGTTAACAATCTCCTCCAACGATCTATGATCTCTCCCTGAAACCCAACAAAAAAGAGTGGAAAGAATCGAGAATTTAAGCACCGAAATCGACATCGCCTTTCCTTCAAAATATCTCCTATTCCTTTCAAGCCAAATACACCACCACACACAAAGCGGTGTAGCCCTCCACGCATCCTGACTGTGAGCCCCCATAGGGCAACCTCTCCACGCCTCAATCAACCCTCTAGCAGATCCTGGCATAACCCAAGAAAACCCAAATAAGCCAATCATCAAATCCCAACACTCTCTAGCCAAAGAGCAATGAATGAGAAGGTGATCCACTGATTCCTCATCACGAAGACACATATAACAACGATTGACCACCACCTGGCTTCTCCTTCTCAAATTATCCTGGGTTAAGATCCTACCCAGAACTGAAGTCCACACAAAAAAAGCCACCTTGAAAGGAGCCTTAAAACACCAAATAGACTTCCAAGGAAAACGAACTCCAGGATCAAATGAGAGACACCTGAAGAAAGACCTCACCTCAAAACGCCCTGAGAGTTTGCAACCCAAGACCAACAATCCGAATCCTCCTCCACAATTCTCTGGCGATACAACAGCTCCAAGAAACGAATGGCCTCCTCGATCTCCCAATCCTGAAAGAAACGCCTAAATCGAACATCCCAAACCAGTCTCCCATTATCAAGATGATAATAGTTGACCACCATGGCCTGCCTATCTGAAGCAATCCCGTAAAGCTGAGGAAAAGCGAGAGCGATAGGAACATCTCCACACCACACATCCTCCCAAAAACAAATCCTCCTCCCATCTCTAAGTCGAAACCGAATGTGTTTGGAAAATTCATCCCAACCCTTCCGAATAAATTTCCAGACCCCCAACCCCCGAGGATCCCTCACTTCCAGAGAACTCCACCCTCCTCCCATTTCCCCAAAACGACAAGCCACAACCCTCCTCCATAGCCAATGTTTATCCACACCAAACCTCCACAACCATTTCCCAAGGAGGGCCTTATTAAAAGGCACCAATCTACGGAGACCCAACCCACCATTCCGAATTGGCCTGCAAACCTATTCCCATCGCACCAAATGAAACTTAAACTCTTCACCTCTACCCCCCCACAGAAAATTACGCTACAACCTCTCAATCCTCTCCGCAACTGAAGAGGGAATCTAAAATAGAGAGAAAAAATAAGTAGGAAGGCAAGAGAGGGTGCTCTTAATCAGAGTGACCCTGCCGCCATTGGAAAGATACTACTTCTTCCAACCGGCCAACCTTCTCTCAAATCTATCCACCACTAGGTCCCAAATCCCCACACACCTCGAAGGAGCACCCAGAGGCAAACCTAAGTAAGAAATGGGAAATGAACCAGTACGACAACCAAGAATGTCAGCAAAAGCCTCAATCTCAGGGACCTCTCCAACCGGCACCAAAACACTCTTGCCCACATTCACCTTAAGGCAGGAGACAACTTGGAACCAAATCAAAACACATTTCAGATATCTAATCTGGGACACATTCGCATCACAAAGAACTAAAGTGTCATCAGCAAACATCAAATGAGAGATCTCCAACTGAGAAGCAGCATCCCTGCCACCCGAAAGCCCCTCAAAAGACCCAACTCGGTAGCCCTTCTCATCAATCTACTAAGGGCCTCCATCACAAACAAAAACAAGAAGGGGGAGAGAGGATCCCCTTGTCTCAAGCCCCTCGAGCTAGAGAAAAAACCGGTAGGAGCACCATTAACAAGGATCGAAAAGCGAGCACTGGAAATACAAAAGTGCATCCATCTCCTCCACCTATCACCGAACCCCATCCTCTCCATCAAGTAAAGAAGGAAGCTCCAACTCACGTGGTCATACGCCTTCTCAATGTCCAACTTACAAAGAACACCTGGGACCCCACTACGCAATCTAGAGTCCACACACACACTTGCAATAAGGACTGAATCCAAAATCTAACGGCCTCCAACAAAAGCGTTTTGAGAGTCCGAAATGATGCCATCCAAAACTTTCCTCAATCTTGAAGCAAGCACCTTGGCAATCAACTTGTAGATACAACCCACCAAACTAATAGGGCGAAAATCCCTAACATCCAACGCCCACAACAAACAACCCCCCCCCCCCCCCCCCCCCCCCCCCCCCCAAAACCCCCTTTTCAGAATGAGAGCAATGAACGTGGCATTCAAGCTTTTCTCAAAAGATCCCCGAGAATGGAAAGCATGAAAAGTGCCCATCACCTCCCCTTTAACCACCTCCCAGCACTCCAGAAGAAATCTCATGGTAAATCCATCTGGACCTGGGGCTTTATCCCCATTACAACTCTTCAAAGCAATCAGAACTTCCTCCTCAGAAAAAGGCAACTCCAAACCCAAGCACTCCTCAGAAATAGAGTCAAACTGCATCCCTTCAAGCAAAAGTCTCCACTCAACAGTCTCTGTGAACAACTTCTCAAAAAACTCTGAAAATCCTTTGCAGATCTCCTCCTCCTTACAAAAAATAACCCCCTCAACCCGAATCCTCCCTATATGATTGCCTCTTCTATGAGCATTGGCCAATCTGTGGAAATTTTTTGTGTTTCTATCCCACTCCTTAAGCCACAAGGCTCGAGATTTTTGCCTCCACGAGATCTCCTCCATGATTGCAATCTCAGTAAACTCCGTCTTGCACTCCGCCCTCCTAACCTTCAAAGCTTCCACCAAATCCCCTTGACCCTCCATCCGGTCAATAGCCACAATCTCAGCAAGAACCTGATTTTTTCTCCATTCCAGATTCCTAAAGACCTCTTTATTCCAAGTCTTAAGATTCTCCTTTAAGAGACGCAATCTGCCTGCAAGCACATGACTAGGGGTGCCAACTACACCATACCCCTCCCACCAAAGACGGACCCTCTCCAGAAAACCCTTAGCTCGCAACCACATATTATCGAATATGAAAGAACGTCTACAACACAACCCGCCACAATCCAACATCAACAGAACATGGTCAAAGATAAGACGAGCCAAAGTAGCCTGAACAACATCAGAGAACCTCTCCTCCCACTCCCCCGACACAAGGAATCTGTCAATCCGAGAAAGGGTAGGGGGAGAGCGACCACTGGACCAAGTAAACGGTCCTCCAACCAAAGGCAAATCAACCAGCCCAAACTCATCAATAAACTCCGAAAAAGCCTCCATATCAAACGTCCACCTACCTCCCGTTAACCTCTCAAACGGAGAGCGAACAACATTGAAGTCCCCTCCAATACACCAAGGCAAACACCATCGACTTCTGATCTCCCCCAACTCCTCCCAAAGCAAGTGGTGCTCACCGTCCTCCGAAGGACCATAAACACCCGAAAAAACCCAATGAACACCATCCTCTACCAAAGCAAGAATGCATGAAACAGAGAAACGCCCAACCTGAGCATCCACTTTAGACACCCATCTGTTATCCCACATGATCAAGATGCCCCCCGAGGAACCAATAGCATCCAAAGCAATCCACTCCACAAATCTCCCACCCCAAAGACTCCTTACAATCTTATCAGACATCGAAGCAAGTTTGGTCTCTTGGAGACACACCACATGACCCCCACCTTTACGAAGAACCGACTTAACCACTTTCCTTCTAACCGGGTCATTGAGACCCCGGACATTTCATGAAAGAATTTGTAGCTTCATAGGGAAACACTTGGAAAAGCAAACCCTCCCCTCCTTCCACCACCTCTCCCTCCTGATCTGGACCCCCTATTTCTCCTTTCATACCCTCTCTCCTCCTGCAACCCTAACTTACCACCCACATTTTCCTTAAAATGAGAATTGAGAACATCATTAAACAAACACATCGCCTCATCCACCTTACCCTCAAAAGAACACCCAACAAAGGGCCCACTTCAAAACCCTTCTCCCTCACCCACTCCTCCTCAAGGTCATTCATTCCAACATCAGTCGAGTCTCTAACCTAATTCCCCTCGGGCGGAACAACAGCCAAAGGGACAGCCAAATTCATTGCTTGTTCTAAGTCTTCCCATGGAATCATGCCCGAGTCCCCATTAAAGGAAGAACCTGCAGCTCCCTCCCAATCATCAAGAATAGAAGAGGAATGCGAGCAAAACTGCGAAACAGGCTCCTCCTCTGTCAAAACGCCTCCTGAATCACAAAGAAAACCTTTCAAAGCCAAATGGTCATGTAACTCCTTCAACAAAACAGAGGCTGTTTCATCATCAAGCTTCACCTTCACATCCCGACCTACACAAACCGTAACTCCCTCACACATACCTTCACTTCGCCAAGAGAAACCAAGCCTATTCCCAGAATCACCATCATGCCTTTCAGCAAAAACCGAGTCCCTCTCAACCACGGTGCTAAGGAATGAGATACAGTGGCTGTCCCACCCATCTCCCATCCCAATGAAGTTCGACACCCCCAAAAAAGGAGAAGAAGTAGAAAAAGAGCACGGCTTAGGAGGAGAAGTATCAGAAGGAACTGAAAACATACCCGGATCGAAACCCGACTGCGAAGATGCCACCCATTTTTGTTTATCCTTTCGTGACCACTTTTTGCCAAGAGCGGGAAGGATAATCTTTTTCTTAGGCAAACGATGTCTCAGCACCGGATCCTTCACTCGCTGATCAACCTTGACTCTCGCTTTCATCGAACCAGCAGCACAAGGATCTCTATCATCTCTCGAGGAAGAAAAGGGCTCAAACATGTTAGACACCAACCCAGATCCACAACTCGGCCCACTCTTCAACCCCGGAAACCCACCAACAAAAACATCTTTAGAAGATTGGGCGCTCGGCCCACCATCCACATCACAAGAAACTTGCACACCACAGTTCAAATCCATAGAACCAGAAATAGGCCTTTTAGAAACTGAAATAGGCCTTTTAGGCCCAAAAAGCGGCCCAACAGACTCAAGCACATCATTACAAGAAACAAAAGCCCCATTACCAAGTCCACCATCAAGCCCAACTGAATGGGAAGCCGAATTTGAAATGATCGTGGGTACAGCTGTTCTCCACGAGAAACGGACAAGGCCTGAGCGCCAACCACATGGATGGTCTGGAAACCTCCCCCTCCCACACGCCTGCTGAGCGTGGAAACCACCACGTCGTCTTGTTTGATCCCACTGCTGCACAAAAGGCCGACAACCATTTCTGGCGAGACCTCCGCCCCACTGCATCTTCCGAAACCCTTCTTACCGTCGGCGATTCGGCAAATAAGGAAGCCCTTCCTTTCGATTCTGATTGAAGATCCTTCTAAAGCACTCCGAATTACGAATCCATAGCACGTCTCTCCATTCCTTCCATACCTGGAACTCTACCATTCCTTTTTTCCCCATGGATTCCCACCGCAGCTATTCTTTCTCCTTAAGCAAGTGCGAACCATCACCGCCTTCCAAGCTATCTGTCGTCGGAACAAGCTCGGGATGCTTCTCCTCCCAAATAGACACCTTATAGCAGAATTGGTCATCATAAATGAACACAAACGGAGGGCAAACCCTACCATCAGAGACGGTGATTCGAACTCTTTCAGCGTCTAAAGCTTCATCAGCATCCACCCAAATAAACCCACCACAAAGATCGCCAACTATCACGAATAGAGCATGACTCCAAAGGTAGAGAAGAAGACCGTACAGCGTCACCTTCTTCAGCCCCTTCTCTTTCAACACCTCCGAGCACCCTACCCTAAAACTCCAAGCTTCCAAACAAAGAGATGTCGTTCCCCAGTCACGGCGACCCCCCTTGAGAACTCGAGATGCTTCCGTCGAGGAGGGAAACCGGAAAAGCAATAAAGAATCCGGCAGAGGCGAGACCGTCACACCAGAGGAGACCTTCCAAGCACGCGAGGCCCAAGCTGCAATTTGAGCCCCATCACCCACTTCCTTATCAAATTTCCCTACCAGACACGACCGAAGGTCTTCTCTTCTTCTTCGTACCGAATCATCATCCAAGAAAATCGATGGGTCTCTATACGGATTTGCAGATCTAGCAGATCCACCTTGGAACAAGCGTGGCAATCTAGCAACCTCCAAGAAAGAGCGCATGACAGAGAAAAAGAACCAAACCAGACAAACAACCAACAGCAACCACATCAGAGTTTTTTTTTTCACTAGCTTACACTACAGAAGATACAATCAACCAAATTGCCAAAATGGTAATTAAGTACACAGAGATCGGTATACGAACCAAGATTCAAAAATATAAAGCCATTCCAATCAAATTTGTAAAAAATTTAAAATCGTTTATACCCATTAAATGGGGTGGGGACAGTATCCAAAATCCCTTCCCGGGACGGGGATGGTATTCTTACCAAAAACCCCACCCGGATTTGGGACGGGGATGGGGTGATTGATGGTATCCAACTTGATCTTGTGATGTTACAAGTCAACGTGCTGAACTTATCGCAAAATTATAGGCATTAGAAAGTTCAAAGAACTAACTTTTAGCAAATTTATTTATATGTTTGTGCAGTTAGTTTATACAACCTATATATTCTACACTACAGCATGGAATTCAAACACTTTTACTTCTGATCAGTTACCACACAAATTTTAAAGTCCTTATACTACCATTATTATCTTCATATCATGCTCCCCAACTCTCACACCTAAAGTCATCCCAAGCACCGCAAATGTGGCACCTAGCTATTTCCTCCAAAAAAAAATCCTAATAAAATTGAAACTCTCATCTCATATTCCAATAGAATTTGGTAACTTCTCACATGTAGCACACTTCCAACCTTCAAGCACTACAAAAAAATCAAGCTACCCAATAAATTTCAATCATAATCTGAGCCGTTTGTCCCCCAGTTCAATATATGAAACAAAATAACACAATTTCATTTGTTACATGCCAACAAAAACTTCACTCTTCACTGCTAACAGTATAAATTAAATAGTCCTTTCTATTCATGCTGAAATGGTGAGAGAACTGAGTCAACATATATATCAAGTAAATGAGTAAATTTTGCACCAAATAAGCAGATTATGAGGCCAAAAAAGTGCAATTGAGTATTGAAATTTCTACTTACTAGCACGAGGACCGGACGCTCCGGCTCTCTGGAGACCCTTTTTCTTGAAAATGAAGCTGGATCCAATGAAGGCGCTGGAACCGACGGCGAGACCTAACCCTATCAAATTATCAGTATCCATGACCGACACAAATCTAGGGTTTGATCACTGGGAAACGGATCTTTCATCTGAACAATTGAGGTCCAACATCCAAAACTAGGGTTGGTTTTTGTCAGCAACCCTAGTTTTGTATACAGAGCAAGCAAGAAAAGATGCGTGTGTGAATCGAGAGTCACATATATTACACAAATGAAGCGAGGACGTTCATTACCTGTCAGTCCCAAGTCCAAACTAGGGTTGTTATCTGTCAGCATATATATATAGTTTTTCTCCTTAAACGGGACTGTCTCAGATTAAACCATTGGAATGAGAGTACCAACAGTAATCCTAGAGATCTTGTGGCTGTGTAATGACAAGCCAGAAATTTATTTCAAATTTTCAAGTTAAATAGGATAGTGAAGTTAAAAAGAAAAATATATATTTCCGTTTGGAATAAATGTTAGAATAAAAAAATAAAAAAAAATTATTAGTCTAAAAATTGCCGACAGAAAAAGCATTTGGTGACCATTATAATAAGTATTTTTTACAATCAAATTATTTCTTAAATAATTTGTAACAATATTTATTAAAATACTTATATTACTAATTTTATAATAATATCCTTGTTACTGTATTTGATAATAGAATTTTATTAATGACCGAGTATAATTATCTTTATAAAAAATAGAAAGGACAAAATTTTTAATGAAAAAGAATTAGTTAAGATATTCAATATCTACTCACAACTCAGTTTTGAAAGCTCTAAATTTTAGTTTTATTCCAAAGCTTTACTAAACTAAATTTTGATAATTATTAAAAGCGCTTTTAATGATTATCAAAACACGTCTAAACGCAATTTTTCAAAATAAAAACGTTTTTAAGTAGTAGGGAGCAATCTCAAACTCACTCATTATTTTTTAATATGTTTGTTAACAATATTGTTTAAAACATTTTTGTTACTAATTTTAAAATAATGCCCACTTTAACGAAGTGATAACTTTAAGACTTTATAAAAGAGGCAATAAAATGTCTTTATAAAAATAAAAAGGAATAAATATGTGTAACAAAAACAATATAGAACCTTTATTCAAAACGTAACATCATTCTTTACTAAAGCTGTTATTATCAAATTTAGTAATATAACATTAATGTAAAATTAGCCATAAAAGTTTTTAAAAAATATTATTATAAAATAATTTAATTATAAAAAAAACTATTATAATATATCACCAAACTTACTTAATACTCTCTGCTAACAATAATTTTGTAACATGATAAAAGCGTTTTATTCAGAGGGAACAACTTTTGTTCGATTAATTAATTTATAATAGATATTTACTTTTCTATGATTAATTTTTATATATATATATATATATATATATATATATTTCTGTCTGTTCTTATCATGCACACAAAAGACATAAATGCCACTGTTTAAAGACAAGGAAATGGCGGCAAATCTTTCAAAGTCGTCTCATATATGCTTTGCGTCAAAAAAACCAAAAAAAGTAATTAATGTGCTCTATCCATATCCATTTGCAAAGAAGCAGGATTACGAGTCTATGACAACACTAAACATAATTAGAATGCAACCACAATGTTGTCATCTTATATTTACATCTTGGCATATTGTTAGTGAAGAAACTGACAGCAATCACTATTTAAAACAACTGGCAGAATATACTCATATTGTGCATGATGGGCGAATGAAGTAGAATATTTTCCTTTTTTTTTCTTATTTTTCGAGGGCTTAGCCCCTAATAATCCCCGAAATATCTCTTGACGAGGCTTCTAATATAACAATATCTCCTTCCATATTATTGTAATTGCAAGTATAATATCAAGGGTGAATTTAAAAAAAAAAACTCTCATTATTACCCGGTTGTGAAAAAATTCCCTTATAAATATTTTTGGCAAAAAAACTCGACTACTAGTCTAAGGGGGGTTTAACTGAGGTGATTTTCTAAAACAATTTTTGGTAAAAAAATTACCCCTTAACAAATTATTCTCCAAAAAAATGTTTAAAAATAAATAAGAAAAATGTATAATTTTTATAAAAATAAGAATAATGCTTATCTTAGGCCGCATAAAAAGGAACTTCTTTTTTACGTTGAGGTGCCTAATAAAACTTCAACATGTGTTAAAAATTTTAAGACAAGAGAAAAGAATGAGTGCAGATAATAAAAACCCATCTCCTTACTCTCTCACACCAACTCTCCTTGGGTTAATAGAAAAAGAAAATAAGTGTCCCTCTCCTACTCTAAATATACATCTATACACACACACACACACACACACACATATATATATGTGTGTGTACATATATATTTTTTCGTGTATTGAATCTTCTCTTAAATTAAGATCATTATTTGAGATCAAATTTAACCCACCAATTACCTGTTGATATATATACATGTATACATAGACCCATTTCAAAATACAGACTCATTTGAAAGCAAAAATGGGGCAAATTGATTGCATAAGGATATCGAAGAGGGGGCTGTGGTGGACTGGAAGTAATGAAGTGGAATTTTGGAGAGAGAAGATGGCAAGAAGTCTTTAAAATTGTCCTTTAATTTTGATGGCAAGAAGTCTTTAAATTTGATCTCACTATTTTAAATAATTAATGATCTTAATTTAAGAGAATATTCAACACACAGAAAAAATATATATACACATACATATATAGATATGTGTAGATGTATATTTACAGTGGGATAGGGACACTTCTTTTCTTTTTCTATTAACGCAAGGAGAGTTGATGTGAGAGAATAAGGGGATGCGTTTTTATTATCTGCCGTCATTCTTTTCTTTTATCTTGAAATTTTTAACAAGTGTTGAAATTTTATTGGGCCACCTTACCATAAGAAGGAAGTTCCTTCTTATGCGACCTAAGGCAATCATTATTCTAAAAATAAATAAGGATAAGAAAATGTTTAATTTTTATGTCATTTTCTCATTTTCTCGATCATCTTTCGCTTTTGAGGTTTTAAATTTGTTTTTGTTCTAAATTTGTTTTTCCTTTTCTTTATTTATTTGTACTTTCTCTCACCATAATGACGGACCAAAGAGAGAGAAAATAATTTTAAGCAACCACCAAAAATCAAGATTTGAATTGATAAGCTATATAGCAAAATCAATACTTAAGCCCAGACGAAAGTTACTAATGTTGCATTTAATATGCAGGAATGAAATGGAATGACCATTCTTATTTTATTGTTTGGTTGTAAATATGAAATGTGTAGGAATGGAATGATATTAACTATTATAGTATTTGGTTGGACCAATTTAAAATTTAGAATGGAATAAATTTCAAATTGAATTCACCAAAATATTCCTCTTAGTAACAAATAATTAAATTAACAAAATGACATTCTTCTGTAATTTTTAAAAAATGAATGGTGGTAGTGGCGTTGGTGGATGGTGGTAGAGGTGGAAAGGGTAGTGGTGTTGGAAGGCGACGGTGGAAACAATGGTGGAAGGCAGCGGTGGTGATAGTGGTGGAAGGCGGCATGGGTGTCGGTGGAAGGCGGTGGTAGTAGTGTGATGGTGGTGGTGGTGATGGTGGTGGAAGGAAATAGTGGTGAAAGTGGCAGTGGTGGAAGCTAATGGAGGTGACTGTGGTGGTAGTGGTGCTGGTGGAAAGCAGTGGAGGAGGTGGTGGTGACGGTGGAAGGCGGTGGCAGTAGTGGCGGTGGCTATGGTGGAAGGTGGTGGCGGTGGCTGTGGTGGAAGGTGGTGGTGGTGGTAGAAGGAGGTGGCGGTGGCGGTGGTGGCTGCAGTGGTGGTAGTGGAAGGCAATGGTGGTAGTGGTGGTGAAAGGCGGTGGTAGTGGTGAAAGGTGGTGGTGGTGGTGGTGGCGGTGGGGGTGAAAAGTGGGAGTGGTGGTGGTGATGGTGGTGTAAGGCAGTGGCGATAGAATGTAGTGGTAGTGGTGAAAGGCATTGGTAGAAGGCAGTAGTGGTGGTGAAAAGGGGTGGTGGCAGTGGTGGTGGAAGGAAGTGGGTGTGGTGAAAGGCGGCGGTGGTGGTGGAAGGTAGTAGCAATGGTGAAAAGTGATGGCAGTGATGGTGGTGGAAGGTGGTGCCGGTGGAAGGCAGTAGTGGTGGTGGTAGCGACAAAAGAATATGGTGTAGGTGGTGAAAGACGATGGCGGTGGCAGTGGTGGTGGTGCAAAGCGACGGGCGGTGATGAAAGTCGGTGGCGGTGGTGGTAGTGGAAAGCGATGGTGGTGGTGGTGAAAGGCAGAGGTGGTTGTGGTGGAAGGTAGTGGTGGTTTTTGGACTTGGAAAATGAGGATTTTTTGGGAAGTTGATTTTTTAAAAAAATTTACTTAGGAATGGAATGGACATTTCATAGGTTTAGTTGTGGAATAGATTTTCATTCCCATTAATGGATGGATTTTTATTCCAATGGAATGACTATTCTCACTTTAAATTGCATACCAAACAAAGGAATGGTTGGAATGGGCATTCCATTGCTACACACCAAACGCAACATAATGTCCTCATTGCATATATATTGACATAAGCAACAACCAAAATTTAAGCATCAACATAAGATCCATAACAATTACAATCACCAAAAGAGAGGCATGCACCCCATTTGAATATACATGATCATTTTAATATTGAATTTGGAAGATGTCATATATGTCACATTCTCTGTAGCATCCATTTACTTTCATTGGATCCATTAATGCAATGATAAATATTTGAATTGATAAGCCTGTTTGAATATGATAATAATAAATTGTCTAAAGAATAATCTATTAAGGGGTAAGTTTGTTCGAAAAATTATTTTAGAAAATCACTTAAACAGATATTAGTTAAAAACACCCCCTTAAAGAGTCCAAGGGGATTTTTTACCTAAAATATTCATAAGAAAAGTTTTTTGCAATTAGGTAATAGTCGAGGATTTATTTTTGAACTATCAATGTTTTTACAATTTTTTTTCCCCTAGCAAACACGAAAAAACTATATATTATTACTTATATCCAAAAGTACAAGCATCCTGAGCAAAAAAGCAAACACTCCACATTACAAGAAACCCATATC